AAGTTCCCACAATCAATAATGCCGGTTCACTAAAGATTCTGCTGTTAAAAAATAAACCAAACAAAGCAACAACAAATTTTACTACACAAGAATCATCACTAAGATAAATTATCCCCCTCTGGAGTGTAATAAGGGACTAAAAACGCTGCTCTCCATATCATACTTTACTGAACAAAACAAAACAAACAAAAAAAACCCTTCAAAGGTCATCCACGCTCATGCATGCGACCACACCTCCAAAAGTGCTGTTATCTCTTTAAAAAAAAATTGAAATCATTGTGCGCTCCACTTTGTGAAAACCAGGAAACAAAATTATTGTAATCAATAATATTATTATTTATAGACCAAGACATACTGTTACCAATCAGATAAAGCTGGCATCGACCCTCTGTTGTGTTCGCTATTCCTTACACATAAAGTTAGTTATGGCACACGCCTAGAATCATGCAATCATATCTTAAATTCAGTTTAAAAGTATATTTTTATCCATTTCTTATAATCAAATATTTCAGCATATTAAAAGATTAACTTTATAATTTGGTATGTTTTATAATTTTATGTTACTCGGACAAGTTTTCTTCTTATTTTACACATCTTTTTGATTTTTAAACTAGATTATAACATAAAACTCTTAAAGAATTGAACAGTCCGTATCACACACAGAATTTTTTTTTCACCCTGTCATTATCTGTCAGCCCGTCAGTTGATCACAATCTCTCTCTCCCCCCCTCTTTCTCTCTCTCTCTCTCTCTCTCTCTCTCTCTCTCTGTGTCCGTCTGTGTGTCTGTCTGTCTATCTGTCTGTCTGTCTGTCTGTCTGTCTGTCTGTCTGTCTGTCTGTCTGTCTGTCTCTGTCTCTCTCTCTCTCTCTCTCTCTCTCTCTCTCTCTCTTTTATTTAATTTTTCCCATTCTCCTTCGTCCCTTCCCAAGGCCCGCCCCTCCTCTTTCATCCCAGCCCCATCCCCTCTTCCTTGCATGCATTCCTCCACCCCGCCCACCCCCACAACGTGGCCCAGCCCGATAAGATTCTATAAAAAGAAACGCCACAGTTCGTGATTTAGCCCACAGTCGGCGGCCATAATTTGATCCCCACCGCGGCGTACTGCTCGTGGCGCCGCGAAAAGAGAAAGGAGGATCCATTAATTCTAAACTCCTTGGTGCCAGGTTAGAAATCTATCAGCAGCTACCCCCCTGGGTCGGTGCTACTGACTGAAGTGTCTTTAGGCCATTCCCAAAAAGGGGAGGGGGGGGGGGGCATTAACATCTTGAGTTCTTATGCACAGTAGAATTGTAAATTGTTAATGGGCTGATTCATCAATGTCAAGCTCATAAATGTGCCTGAACTGTAACAGGGAACTGCTGCCTTTTCTTTCCTAATCCCTACTATCGTCTTTTTTCCCTCTACTTCTTTTGTATGTTTGTCACACTCTTTTGCCTCGCTACTTCAGGAGTGCCTTTATAGTCGAAGCAGACTTTGTGCAGTTGAAGTTGAAGCTAGAGAGGTGAGCAGAATAAGTCTGATTTCTTGTAAGGACTTCTCTGTTGACCCCCCCCCCCTGGCGCTCATATGACCTTATGCAGTTGCGAGCGCCGTAAAACCTCTACTAAAACTAAACTATCAGCAGCGGAAAAATGTTCTTCTCTAAAAATTGCTCCTTCTCGCTGCTGTCTTTCAAACACAACCTTGATCTTAGGGTAGGTAAGATCTAACACCCAGCCTTATTAGATAGATCTAAGGACAAATAATCTTGAAGGTCCTGTATGCAAGTTGTCCTCGTTAAGGATCCCTTGGAGGTCCTAAAATCGATAAGAGTAGGCTTCGGCCGCCACCCGGGAAAAATTCAAAATTCTTACTCAACTGAAAATGTTTATGTGTCCCGTGCGCTTATACAACTTTGCGCAGTTGCGAGCAGTGTGAAACATTTACTAAAACTATAGTTAATTGAGGCACACCATAAAACGTACCCTTTGTCTCTTAGAGGAATGAATCACTCACACACAAGATGCCACGAGGCTCCCAAGCTTGCGAGCCATCAGACTGCTTGGCTAATAGCTACAGTGGAACCTGTCATGACGACCACCTGTATAATACGGCCATCTGTACAAACGTCCACTTTCCATTTCCCCCTTTACGCTTTTTCTATATAATTTATCTGTGTAAAACGGTCACCTGCCCCTAACACTGTGGACGACCGTCATAATTCATTCACCTGCCGCTATTGTTCATCTCTCTGAAGGTTTACCCAAGTTGACCAATGGGTTGACCAATGGGTTGACCAATGGGTAGGCTTCACAATAAATTTTCAACCGCTCGTGAGGGCAGCGTGATCCGTCATAAACTATAAACCCGCCCACAACTCATGCACAAATCGTGTGAAAGGTGACTGGTTACAGTTTTGTTTACCTTATCTGTAATTAAGTAACAATGGATGTTGACGTTAACTTGCAACAGAAGTGTCGCCTGTTCTCCGAGTGGTGGTGACCTGTGCGTTTGTTTTACCATGGCACTCGGTCTTCATCGTCATACATATTTTAAAAAATTTTTACCCTTGCACAAAAGCTGCATCTAAATGAAAGCTAACAAAACAAAACAAAAGAAAACAGAACAAAAACAAAAAACAACAAACAAATCCACCACCCAAAAAACAACAAACACCCCCAACAAGACAACAAAACAAAAAAACCCACACTTTTTTACAACACCACCCACCCTCTTTTTTAAAAGAAAACAAAAAATCCCTTTGAACCAGCCTAACGGCAGTCTCAAGCCTGAGATCAGCCGCTTTTTGGACCACGGAAGAGTTTGCTTTCTTCATTTTGATCAGTTCTGCCTAAGATCACACTGGTTTGACTGTATTTGTGTCTCACTCAACGTGTCAGTTTTTTAGCATCAGGATTTATTGGTACCATCTTGAAGTCTAAAGTTTGTTCTTTTGTCTTGCATTCGATAAAAAAAAACCCCAACCCCACTAACCCATCTGCCTTGAGCAGAAGTCGAGATACTTGTGATGGAAGGAGGTGAGGGTCGCCTGGTTTCAGAGGTAAAATTAGAGAGAAAATGACGGCCAAAGTTTGGCGACTTCCATATCATGAGAATCTTTGGAAACTGATCATTCATTTAAAAAATATTTTTTGGTCTTTAATCCGCTTAAAAAAAAAGTAAAACCCACACTTTTTAATGGACATAGACGGTGTTGAGCCAAAGAACCCCCCCCCCCCCAACCCCCCCCCCAAACCCCCCCCCCACAACAACAACAACAAAACCGAATCACCGACCCCCCCCCCTCCCCTCCAACACAACAGCAAAAAATATTTGACGGAAATTGCCAAAGGACAACGCATGTCTCAAACAGACAGTTTGTTCAGAATCGTTTTCAAGTTATTCAAAGAATTGCATTCCAAAAGCTTGATGATATGTTGTGAAACTCAAAATTTGTTTAAGTCAAATTTCTCAAAACTAGGTACTGAGCAGATATAGAGCTTTGTAATTCTAGGGTAGCGAAATATTCTAATGCTTGCTATTGGGTTGGTCTTTTGAGCTTGGAGGATATAATTTTTTTAAATTCTATGAGTATTTGTTACCTTTTTTTCTAATTGCATAAACTCAACGTGGAAGCCCCGTGCAAGATTTTTTGGTCTTCCATCCTTCTTCCCGACTCCATTTTTTTTCAGTTGCTGCAAAAGTACACTAGGCTTTTAATTTCAGCCCAGAAATGATAACCGTCCAAGAAGAAAAGGCGTTGCCTCCAGGGTCCAAGAGTTTAGCTGGCAGTTCTAACAATAATAATAATAAAAAGCATTTGTATAGCGCATATCCCCGCTCAACAGCAGGCTCTAAGCGCTTTACACTATATTATTACCCCAGCAGACCATAGAACACTCCTTAACGTTCTGCGCTTCCCGGGAAGCATACAGTGCAAGCAGCTGATTAAGCGCTCAAACATTAACAAACTGACAAGATCTTTCGCTGTCTATAGCAGGGTACCCATTCCCACCTGGGAGAAGTGAGGAAAATTCGTGTAAAGTGCCTTTCCCAAGGACACAACGTCGGGCCCCTGACGGGATTCGAACCCTCGACCTTACGGTTGCGAGACCGAGAGCCTAACCACAAGGCCACCGATTCCACGTTCTTCAACGTAGGTTCCTACATACACTTACAGTACAGACTTACAAAACCTGCTCTTCTCTGGCGTTGACCAGATGACAAGGACATGTGGTTACTTAAGGGAGGCATTGCGCTGCCAAGAGCGAAATTTTGGCAGCTAAAGGGATTTGAAAACAACAACAACAACAACAACAACAACAACAACAACAACAACAGCTGATTTCCATTAATAATACACCACAGGTCTAGTCAAGAAACAAGGGTAAGCCAAGAACCTAAGAAAGAACTTCTATTTATAACCTCCTCGGGGTAGGCTCAATAATAATAACAATAATACATACGGTCTCTGGGTAGGTCTGCAGTTCTGCCGTAAACTGACAATTCGCCTTTTTTTTCATTTTTGGCGCTAATTATTTTTAATTTGCTAAATCGATAGCGGGTTCAGTAACTTACTTGTTGGACAAAATCGAAGTGAAACTCTTATTAGTTTTGAATAAACGAGCATTAAAATTTCGGAAGAACGCCTTTTTAAAATAGTTACACTGACTAAACTCCTGTTTATCTTGAAAGTGCTGTGAATTTTTAAAAAGGCTTTTCGTAAGCTTATGTCAGAGTTGAGCCCAAAGGAAGAGACAGTGCACAACTTACTCTGCTTGAGGAGCAAATCGCGGGCTTTGAGGTCAAGGACAATTGGCTCTGGTGGTCGTCTGTAGTCGATGGCAAAAGGATTGTTCCCGCTTTTTTGTCCACGATAATAGAAGAAAACAAACACGAACAGCAAGAAGGTGGTTACCAAAACCAGAGGGTTGCTCAACATGAAGTCGAACAACCCCCAGACTGCGGTACCGATCATTCTGTGTCTGTTGCTGCCGTGCACACAAAAGAAGAACAAGAACCAGGCACTGTTGACTTCCGACTGGCGAGCTGATGTCTCGCGGAGTGGTCGTGTCTCACAGCAGGAAGAATTTAAATACTCGCATCGATGGCTGGGACCTGCCCACTTTTCTCTGTCTTTGTCTAGTACACGGGTGGACTTTGATCACATTAGAACATTCGAAGATTATACAATTTTCCAGGTTGTGATATTTCGGGACATAGTGGGGAGTGGTGTGGTTGTTTGGTAAGGGGGGGGGGGGGGAGATGCGCTGAAAGCTTCACAATTCCAAAACCATAATCCATGTGCATGTGTAATACAGTTTATGGAGGGTGATTAATGTGACAATGTGACACGGGGTCTCCAACCTGCATGTATTACTCTCTCTCTCTCTCTCTCTTTCTCTCTCTCTCTCTCTCTCTCTCCCTCTCTCTCTCTTTCTCTCTCTCTCTCTCTCTCTCTCTCTCTCTCTCTCTCTCTCGCTCTCTCTCTCTCTCTCTCTCTCTTCTATATTCCCTATGTCCATCTATCTCTGTTTCTGTCTGTTTCCATTTACAAGCACCGCCCCCGAAAAAAAAGAAACCCACAAATGAACAAACAAACAAAACATTAAAAAACGAGTTTCCCAACATAACTTTGTTCGGGGTAGCCGTTCTCTCTCTATACCGTTACTTTTATTAGTTTTACCTTGCTCAAACGTAACAGGAAAACTCTCCCTATCCAGGGGACCTGAACATACAAAAATAAGGGTGCCTACTACCCCCCCCCCCCCCCCCCCCCCCCCCGCCATGCATTTCCTCTTCATTCGTTTTTTTTTCCTTTTTAAAAAATTTCTTTTTAAAATTTAGAAGCGAAAAAAAAATCTCAGAAAAAAAAATTGCTGCATTGCAAGTTCGACACGTGGGTAGAAAGTCACTGGTAACATGATCGCTAAGCTCACTGTCAATGGCAAGTTTAATCACCTATCGGGAATAGAGAGGCCCCTTGTGGCAGAATATTCCCCAGCTTCAGTGTATTTGTTGAATGTGGAGTGTCCACGGCCTTTTTTTGCCAACTCTCGAGTGCTTGTGAAATACAATGAATGTGGTCGTTGATGAGCAGCACACAAACGGTCAGTGCGCTGAGACGAAAGGGTGTCTGGGAAGACTGACAGGAGTGTGGCTGGTTGCGGTGATTTGTGGGAGGAGATAAAAATTCAATTCTGACTTTCTGATTCGTCTAGTTGGTAGACAAACAGTTGATTGGCGTACGTCAGTGTCAGTCTCCGGTAACAAGCGATTGAACTGAACTGACCATCACATTGTCATGTTATTTTATTATCAAACTGACCATTGTACTCATTTTGGCACCTGATGTCAAAATAGATCAAGCAATATTATTATTAATATTATTGTTATTATTATTATTATTATTATTATTAATAATAATAACAATAATAGGTCATTTCTATAGCGCCCACTCCCATGTGAACACAGCTCTTTACATGAATTTATTATGCTTGTACGAACAGTATTCACACACGCACACTCACGCACACATTA